GAACCGTCATCCGGACGACCGCACGCCGGACAAATCCAAACTTTATTACCGTCTTTGTCTATAATCGTACCTGGACTCTTCATCACGGGCACGGATTCCTTGACGGTGAGTGTTGTTGTTTGTGTTTTAAACGAATCCGTTTGTATGTGAAGGGGTTTAGTATCGGACGATTTGGGGGGTTTGTTAAAAAGGGAAGATATCCTTGCTATTTCCGGCGTCGGCTCTCTTTTCGTCGGTTGCATCGTTTTGTCCCCTTCCCCTTCCATTTTACTCGGTTTCGACAAGAGTTTTTTCAATTTCGGATCCGGCGATGAGGGTCTCGGAGACGACGAACCTAATTTCAATGTGAGTTTGGGCACGGACACAACCATCGGAATCGATGATTCCTTCATCTTTTCCTTTTTCTTTATTTTTTTCTCTTTTTTCTCTTTTGATTTTTGCTCCTTGTACTTGTCATCTTTATCCCTGTGCTTTTTCTCGCTTTTATCTTTTTTCATTTTTTCCTTTTTATCTTTTTTCTTTTTTATTTTATCCCGATCTTTTTTATCTTTTTTATGTTCTTTAAATTTCTTTTCTTTGTCACCGCGATTTAATAAAATAGCCAGCGGAGATTTTCCTTCTTTTTCGAATTTCGTCGGCGACAAACTTTCCGACGTTGATCTTTCAAACATTCTCTTGAACGGATCTTTTTTCATTTCTTCCGTTTTGATGGGTTGTTGCATTAGCAACGGAGGAGGAAGAGGAAGATTGGGAAAGTTCGGACACAAAGGATGAGGGAATCTGGGTATGAGAGGATTCGTTATCGGTGGCGGAATCAAACCGGGACCGGAAGGAAAATGAGGGAAAAATGGAAGAACCGGAGAGGGGAGTGCGTCTTTTAATCTGGAAGGTTCCAATATTTCTGGCGTTTTCGGTCTTTCGTTTCTTTCTAAATCATCTTCCGTTTTTATCCTGTCTTTAGGCGAACCTTTTCTTTTTTTCTTTTCCTTTTCTTTGTCCTTTTTCTTTTTCTTGTGTTCGGGAGACTTGTCGATTTTTCTCATGATTTCGGGTGTTTTCGGCGTCGAAGGACTTCCGGGAGATGATAATGAATCATCGTATATTTGTAAAATATCGGGCGTGCGAGGTTCAGGTTTGGGTTGACGAGCTTCTTTTTTATCCTTCGGTAAACTTTCCATCATTTCGCTTAAAGCCGATCTTGGCTTTCGACTGGGTACTACTTCTTCTATAATTAAACCGGGAGATCTCTCTTTATTTACAGGAGGAACAATGTCGGAAAATTCATGTTTTTCAACTTTTTCACTTTTTTCTTCTTTTACTTTCGTAATTTTTTTGAAAATGTTCAATTTTTGAACATCCGGTTCCGTGGTTAGTTTTGCTATCGTCACCCCCGAATCCCGACTCTTTTCGTAATTCGAACTAGTTTGTTTTTTAACCGTCGGTTGAAGAGGAGTCACGACCAAGTGAGGGGATTCCGACAATTTTTGAATTAGTGATTTTTCCGACGGAGTATTTTCCACAGGTGGAATTTTATTCGATCCGGGTTTGGGAAGTTTTTCTTGAAAGTTCGGAGGGTATCGAGCACTCATTTTTAATGCACCCGTTTTTAATGCCTTGAGCTTTTCCATTTCCTTCATGCTTGCCAACTTTTTTATGGCAGGCTCTTCATTATTATCTAATTTTTCAGATATTTTCTTTTTCTCTTTCTTTTCCGCTTTAGATACTTCGGGTATTTTCTTTACTTTCTTTTCCCTGTTAACCTCAGGAGGAACTGATGGATATAGGGAAGGCTGAGGTGAAATAGATCTCGAATCAGAAGTTGGTAAAATTACTTTTGACTCGGGTAATTTTCCTTCTCGGGCAGGCGACAAAAATCCCCCCGTCGTCATCATAACGCTACTTATTTCCCTCAATGGTCTTCCTTCTTCTTCGAGAAAAAGTCTCGCTCTTTTAGCAGCCGGAGTTTCAACGGGATCACCCGGACGTTTGAAAACGTTTTGAGGACTAGCTTGAGGAGATGGAATCGAGGACGATCCACTTGTTTCAACGGATAATACATTTTCATTTTGAGAATATCCCTGTTCTTCGAGTATCGTCGGTGGTAAATGCTCGTGCACGTGTACGGGTCTTGTGACAACTTCTTTACTTCCGGGTTTGAGAAAATTTAAATGGGACTCCTTCGCAACAGGATATTTAGGAACCTGATAATTGCATGGCACTGATTCAACATATTCTATGTATTCTTCCAACTGTTTGATTTCCACTCCCATTGCAGAAAATGCTAATCCCAAATCATCTAAATTAGGCCTTGTTCTACCAAATTGATCAGCATATAAATGAGATGTTCTAGCTATTTCTTCTAGATACCTATGAAGAACATCTATGAGAACTTCTAGAGATGATGTTTGAATGGCATGCCAACCAATAGTTTGGCAAACTTGAGACACAACCATTTTCAATGCTTTCTTCGTAAAACCTTCAGCCATTTTAATACTTTAATATTAATTGAATTTCACAATATATTTTTTTTAATTCTGCTAAACGAGGTTGAGAATGCTAAAAAAAAATTTACACACATATTACCATTAACATTTAAGACAATTTTTATTTGTGCAAGGTTTAATATAATAATTGAAATTTTAATGACTTACTATAAAAAGTGGAACAATCGATTCGACTCCACCACAGCTATCAGCATTTAGTAAAACTGCTAAATGAAAAATAACTTTTTGCTAAAATCAATAAAAATTTATTATTATTATTATTAATCTAGATGTAATCAATAATATGCCTTAATAAATATATGTAATTAATAACATTAATAAAATTATTTTTGTGTGTGTGTCATTGAAATGTTTCGTTACTTTCGAAAATTAAATATTATGAATATTATTATTCGTTGTTATTAGCATATCGGAGAATTCATTTTAAAAGTTATTTTCTATAAATTATTTTAAAAGTATTGTCAAGTTACATAAAAAAATTAAATAAAGATGCTTACCATAACAATAACTTCATTTATAATTACATCATTAATTAAATCCCATGGAATAAACACTGAAGATCTAAGTCTTGAATTATATACTGTAGATATTTGTAAACCTAACGATTCAACAATAAATATTGATTCTGACAAAAAAAAAAAAAAAAAAAAATTATAAAATTGAAATGATTATTCACAAACATTCAAACGAAAAATTTGTAAAAAAAAAAACAAAAATTTTTACCTTTTTTAACACCCCAAAAAATCTTTCTGCCCAACCATAGAAAAATTAAAAACTGTAAAAGTACACTAATCACTTTCAAATTATAATCTAAATTAATATAATTTCTATAACAACCGAAATACATATAACTGAGGTATATGGCTAATGTAAATATTTCTTTTTTAGCTAAAATGCAATCGGAAAGCAATATTGTATGTTCATAGCAATTTTTAATTAACTGCGAATTATTTTTTTTATTTTGAATTGTTCGATTCATTTACTTGAAAATGAAAATATATTTAACTAATAAATTTTGAAAAAATTAAATAAAATTAAAATCGAAAAATTAAAAAAACAGCGGACATGTTGGCTTCGCCATATTTGCTATACATTTTTTCTTCTTCCACGTCGTTTTCGTGTTCCGTAACGCAAATATGGACGTTTTCGAATTTCTTTTTAACTTTAATAATTTTTTATTTTTATATAAAATAAGTTTAAATATAAATTGGAAAGGAATTATTTGGCGAAATAAAAATTCAGTAAGTAATCTCGTTTTTTACATATTATTCGAGTTTATATTCGGAGGTATTAAAATTAAAATTATTAAGTTTTTTTTTTTTTTTTTTGTGAATCGTAAAACAATTATTGAAGTAAATCATGTACTTGAATTCGTATTTAAAAATGCAAAACTTATTTTCACATAAAAAAAAAAAAAAAAATTACAATTACCACAACAAGGTTGGTTTTATTTTAAATAATTTAAAAATGGATTATTATTATTATTTAACCGTCGATCGACGTCAAAGAAAATAACGAATTATGGCGTCGCTGTTGTCGTCTCGTTCTCCCTTTCATCAGTTACGACGAGAATACGAGCGAGAAAAGACTCGTGTTAAAAAATAAACGAAAAAAAAAAAACGAGTTATTCGGAATGTGTTCGCTGTCCGAATGTAAACAAGCGGAACCTTTAAATATGTTTTAAATATACCTGTACCAATTTAGCACAAACTAAAATATTTTTTTCATTTGAAAAATGGGTTTTAATTGGTATCGAGGTATGAAAAAGTTTCGAGTACCAAGTCGGTGATTTGAGTAATGGCCGTAAGAACAACATGCATGGTTTTGGCCGGGCCCATTATAATGGGGCTCGGTGTAGAAGCCAAGTACGAGGTGGATAATTCCACACTGTGCACACCGGGACTAATATTACCTACTTGGGAGCCTCAAATTCCGTTAAGCGGAGGCGAAAGATTGGCTAGAGGTGTAGTTTACCTTTTAGCAATGTTTTATCTTTTCATCGGAGTGTCCATCGTGTCCGACAGATTTATGAGCGGAATCGAAATGATAACTTCACAGGAGAAAACGGTTAAAATAAAAAAGAAAAATGGAGAGTTACAAGATGTCAAAGTAAGAGTGTGGAACGAAACGGTTGCTAATTTGACATTGATGGCATTGGGATCATCCGCTCCTGAAATATTACTTTCAATTATTGAAATCATTGCCAAAGACTTTAAAGCTGGAGAATTGGGACCGGGAACAATTGTAGGTTCTGCTGCATATAATCTATTTATAATAATTGCACTTTGCGTCGCGGTCATACCTGACGGACAAACGCGTAAAATAAAACAATTGAGGGTATTTTTCATAACGGCTGCATGGTCCATTTTTGCCTACATATGGTTACTTTTGATTCTACGCGTTTTTTCTGAGGGAGTCGTCGAAGTTTGGGAAGGCTTATTAACATTTCTTTTTTTTCCCGCTACCGTACTTACATCATACATTGCCGATAGACGTTTGTTTGTGTTCAAATACCTTCCACGCATTTCAAAAGACAAAGAAGGAGAAGTTGAACTCGGATCGGCTGAAAGTCACATCGATTTAAGCACGAAAAAAAATAGTTCGGATGGAATTGATGATTTAGCCGAAAATTTCGAACAGAAATGTCGAGAATACACTGCCATTTATCAAGAATTAAAAAAAATGTATCCGGATGAAGATTTGGAAGCATTGGAAATGAGAGCAGAAAAAGAAATATTAAAAAGAGGTCCTAAAAGCAGAGCCTTTTACAGAATGCAAGCGACAAGAAGGATTGTTGGCGGTCCGGATACGACAATGAGAAAATTATCACATTTAAGCAAATCCGAAGAAAAAGAGGTATCGAACGACTCGGAAGAAGATTTAACGGTTCAAAAAGTTTTCTTTGAAAAAAGTCAATATAAATTTATGGAAGATGTCGGTACGGCCGTTATAAAAGTCGTAAGAAGGGGTGGAAATTTAAATCAGAGAATATCAGTCGATTATGCATCCGAAGATGGAACCGCGGAAGCTGGATCCGATTACGAACCCGTTAGCGGAACATTAATATTCAATCCGGGAGAAACGGAACTTCCAATAAAAGTTAAAATAATTGACGATGACGAATTCGAAGAAGATGAAACGTTCATAATACGTTTAAGCAACCTTCAGGTTGTCGATGACGTCATGAGAAAAACAAGCGGTCCTAAATCGAGAGGTTCGAGAGGTTCGATAACGAGTATTAAATTTCAATGGCAAGTTCAATTGGGAGTCCCTTCGTTCGTGACCGTGACCATATTGGACGATGATCACGGTGGAATATTTCGTTTTGGAGAAAAAGAGCATAGCGTGTCGGAATCCGCGGGATTTTTTAATTTGAAAATTTTCAGGTACGTCGGAGCCAAAGGAAAAGTTTCATTACCTTTTTACACGGAAGATGGCACTGCTGTTAATGGTAAAGAATACGAAGAAACAAAAGGAGAAATCATTTTTGAAAATAAAGAAATTGAGTAAGTATTATTTATTATTATTATTATTTATTTTAACAAGAAAAATTTACGTAACGATATTAACGGGGGGAAGGAGGGGGAGTGGGAAGGGGAAAAAGGGAAAAGAATTAAAAGGAAAAATTTTTTTTTTTTTTTTTTGTACGATGTAGGTTAACTCAAAGAAAAAAGTTAAAAGACTCAATTAGAATGGGGGGGGGGGGGAAATTTTAACTCCCATTAAAAATAAATAAATAAAAGTATTTATTCCCAGACAAACGCGGCCATTGTTTGGTTAAATCAATAATAAAAATAAAATAAAAAAAAAAAAAAGGGCAAAGGATTGTGAATGCCAAAAATACAAAAACATGTCCAACGTTCGTTCGACCGACCGACGTTTGATCCGTTCGAATTTTAAGATTTTTAAATTTTAACAGAAAAAAAAATTTTTTTAAATTATCCCTCCTCCCCTCCCCTCCCCCCGCCTCCCCCAAACCTCCCCCAAACCGCCTCAAACGTTTAAGAAACGAAAAAAGGAAAAAAAAGAAAAATTAAACGTCTTCGAAAATCCGAAATTTTTTCTTTTATTTTTTCAAAAAGATAAATGACCGAAAATATCACGTCAGCTTTTTTTTCTTCTGCTTTTACTGGAAAAACCAGTCGCTGGAGAATCAAATAAATAAAATAAATAAACTCGTATTTTCAAAATAAAATTTCAAATCATTGGAAATTTTTTTTTTTTTTTACGGTTGAAAAAACACGATCGTTATTATTATTATTATTATTATTATTATTATTATAAAAATTTTTTTTTTTTATGTCGTCGTCATCATCATCATCATTATTAAAATAAAATAAAGGAAAAACGTTTAAGTTAAATTAATTAATTAATAAAAAAAAAAAATTAATTGAAATCCATTAAGTTAGAATGATGTTATAAAGGTTAGGAAAAAATGTGTTTATTGTTATTTTTATCGTTAAATTTCATCACCATTAGATAATTACTTTTTACCTTTTTTTACCTTTTTTTTGCGTGCGTTTGTTTGTTTGTTTTTGTTTTATATTTTTTTAAATTGTTTGTTGAAAAACGAAGGAGAGAGAGAGAGAGAGAGAGAGAAAAAAAAAATTCCATAAACTTTTCCAATCGATTTTAAACAATAATTACATAAATAAACCTTTATTATAAACGTAAAGATTTTTTTTAATATTAGTCATAGAGTAAATAAACCTCCCTTTCGAAAAAACATTTTTTGTTTTTGTTCGACGATTTATTAGAATAAATAAACTAAATTTTCGATGCGTTTTAATAATACAAAAAAAAAAAATTTTGAATAATAAAGAAGAAGGTTTAGGTTGGCAACACTTTTTTCCGACGTTGACGTCACAAACTCTCCTCCATTATTTCTTTTTAAACAACATTATCATAACAATATTTATTATTATTATTATTATTTTTTTTTTGAAATAAACAAGGAAATTTTTTTTTTTTTTAACGACTTAATCGTATCGATCCATTGAGAAAGCGTCTGTTTTATCCTTAAAAAAAAATTTTATTAGATTTTATATATAAAAAAAGACGTTTTAAACATTTATCACCCGTTTTTTTTTTTTTTTTTTTATATTTAAATCAATATTTTGTCATTCTTCAGACTGATAAAATTTTTTCGTGTCAAAAATTATTATTATTATTATAAAATTTTAACGGTTTCTCTCTCTTTAAAATTATATTAAATAAGTAGTAGTAGTAGTGGTGGTGGTGGTGGTAGTAGTTGTTGTTGTTGTAGAAGAAAAGTCAACATTTATTAAAAAAAAAAATTTTTTAAATGTTTTATAAGATATAATAAACTTTTAAAAGAAAATGGCGGATATAAGTCTCTCTCTCTCTCTCGCTCTCTCTCTCTTTTATGAAAATAATAATAATAATTTTTAACCAAACAACCTGTTGTGTATGATGAATAAAAAGGATGAGAAAAACTTTTGAACAACAACAACAACTTATTCAAAGAAGAAAAACTTTTTTTTTTTATTTTATTTTTACACGTTGAATCATAAGTTCAATATGACGACGCCGACGACTACGATGATGATGATGATGATGATGATAATGAAGCGTATTATTTAAAAAGAAAAAGAATTTCTAAAATTAATATTAAAAAATGATCATATTATGAAATCAAGAAGAAGAAGAAGAAGAATAATCGTTTTTACATAGTCTTATGCCAAAATTAATTTTCTTTTTTTTTTTTTTTTTTTTTTTTTTTACAATGCCCACATTTCTATAAAACGCCAAATGATTAAATAATATTTTAATTTTTAATTTTCTTTTTTTTTTTTTTTTTAAATAAAATGTATCGAAAATTTATAACAAATGAACAAACAAACACAAAAAGATTAACAATAAAAAAAAAATTAAATCTTATTTTGTTATCCGTTCATATTATTTTTTTATCCCAATTATTATTATTATTTAAACAAAAAGAAAATTTTCTATCTCTCTTTTTTTTTTAAACTTTCTCTTTATTATTATTATTATTATTAATGTGTCATTCACATTTTAAAAAAACGACTTTAAATAATAAAAAAAAAAAAAAAATAATAATAGAAAAATTTATTATTGCTGACGACGATAAATAAATAAATAAAATAAATAAATATACAATCGAACGGAAAATTTTCATTATTATTATTATTATTATTATTATTATTATTATTATTATTACTATTTTTTTTTAATATTCTAAAAACAATATTTAAGAAAAAAAAAAAAAAAGAAAAAGTTAATATAATAAAGACGGCCATTAAATTTAAGACGTTTTTAATGAAAATTTTTTTTTATTGCTTAAAAGTCTAGTTTCATAAAAATTATTATTATTATTATCATTATTATTATTAATTCTTTTCACTTATTGAATTTCTTTAAAAATTTAAGATTCCGTTTTTTTTTTCTATTAAAAGGTTTTGGTTTTTATCCATTTATTGATGATATCGTGTTACTATATGGTCGCCATTTTGTTTTTTTTGTTCGGATCGTTTTACCGTTAATTTCAATTTTTTTTTTTTTTGACCGTTATCAATCAATCATTTATTTATTAATTAATAATAAAAATAAAAAACAAATTAAATTTTTAAACTTTAATAATTAATAATTAATAAAAAAGGATAAATGTTATTTTTATTTATTAATAATTAATTAAAGAATGAAATTAATTTTTACATTTTTTTAAAAAAAAAGCGGGAAAATATTTTTAAAAAAAAAAAATGTTATTTAATTTTAACGGATTCTTTTATTATCCCAAATTTCAAAAAAAAAAAATTTTTGGCGGGAATCCAAGTCCACAGCTAAGTTTATCTCATGTGAGGCTCCTGCCCGGTTTTTTTTTTTTTTTCTACTATTTGACCCAGTAAATTTTTCCAAGGGGTTCCCATGGGATAAGGTTGAGGATATTATATATTTATTTATTTTGCCTGTTGATTTTATTTATTGTAATAAATGATTATATTTAAAAAAAAAAGAATAATATGTTAAAAAAAAAAAATTTCACGGCCATAGAGTAACAGACGGTGACGTGACAAAATAACCACAGACGTTAACAAACGTAAATTTTTTTCTCAACTCACGTCTTCTTTTTATTTATTTATTTATTTATTATTTATTTTTCGTTTGTTTTAATAAATTCGGTTAAAATATATAATAAATACAAACAAATTTTAATTTAATTTTATTAATTAATTAAATAATCCAACCATTAAAAACTTTATTTAAAAAAAAAAAAAAAAAAATCCGTTTGATGATGTATGAGAAGGATAAAGACGAAAACTTTTTCATTTTATTTAAAAAAATTTTTTTTTCGTTTTTTACGATCGAAAACTTTAAGTAAAATTTTTTTTTTTTAGGGATTTAAATATATACATTTTGGAATTTTATGTACATGCGTGTATGCGTGTGCGTGTGCGCGTAAAAATAAAACAAAAAAGTTTTATTACAAAAAAAAAAAAAAAAAAAATTCTCAAATGGTTTTACCGCAATTTAAATTTATATTTTACGACATGTTTTTTTTTTTTTTAAACTAAGTTACATTATTATTTATTGATTTTAAAATACATAAAAAAAATTATTATTATTATTATTATTAAAAGTAAATTTTTAATGTTCCGTTAAATTATTTTTTTTCTTTTTTTTTTTTGTTTTACCGCCGAATTTTGTTTAGCAATAACGTAATAAAAATTAAACGGACGATTTTTTAATTTTTTTTTTTTTTTTGTTTTTTTTTTCATTTGTTCGAATTTCAATAAAATAACGAAATTATTAAAAATTATTAACAATTATCGATTCGTTTGATTTTAATTTTAATAATATATATAATTACATCACACGCTCCGGGCTTTTATTTTGAATATTTTATTTTATTTAAAAAACAAAATGAGTGACGTAAGCGTTTTTTTTTATATTAAATAATTTATTTATTTATTAATTAATTAATAAATAATTGATGAGCACGATTTGAGTATTATTATTACTATTATTATTTATTTATTTATATATAAAATAAGGAAACGATAATAAATAATAAAAAATTCGTACTTGGTCGTGGAATGAGAATGAAAACAACGTGATGGCGTCGATGACCTGCCACGACAAAAAACGTTTGAACATAAACGTCTATGATTTTCCCACCCGCTGTTTATTTTTTTTTTTTAATAAAGAACTTTATTAAAAAAATTAAATTTATTTTTTATTAAATAATAATAATAATAATAATAATAATAATAATAATAG